GTCTTGTTTAAAATTTAATTGAAATTCATCTGTCGTTGAACTAATGATTATCGTTTATCTGATTTGTTTAACACATTTTAGGTCATTCGTGACTTGCCCGCGGTGAGATTGGAGCCTAAGTCTTTCAGCTTGAGAAACATGAATGGTAACCATTTACTCTAGGCCCGTATTCAGTTAAACATTATGAATGCAAAATCAGTAATCTTATTGATTTCATTGAAAGCAGGATTAGTTTTCCGTTTGCTTCAACAGTGTAAAATTTTGCTCTCATTTTTGCTGTGTTAACCGTTAAGTCAACCAAAATGAGATCAACTGGAGTATTCAAAATAAGTTACATCATAACAGTAAATTTTGATTTCAATTTGATGTTCAGCTTTGCTCGGGTTCCCCTATATTGCAACAAAGCAGGCAAGCAATATATCATTATCCTTCTACCACTCCGATCGAGCTGTGTTGCAGAGAGAGTTTGTCGTGGTAGTCGTAGCAAGCGTTTTCTTTGTATCGTTGATTGTTTTATGTGTTTGAATGCGCTCCTCGTGTTATTTCGTAATGGACAATACCTAGATGATAAATTTAACTTTTTTGGGAGTTCTAAGAGTTGTTCGAATTTTAGAATATGGAATAAAAAAATCTAAATTTGCGTTCTGATCAAAGGGGCAATGCATTAATTATGTTCCGCAAAATTAAGATTTCCCCTTTCGTCATGTTTTCCTATACCTAATACATTGCTTGTCACAAAATCTTACACCCCCTCCTCCCTAAGAGTGTGACATAATATGTGCATCACCCCAGCGGGCTTGCAATACTTTTGTTAAATTTCCACTAGAGGATTTTCTCCAGTCGTTACACTTCAATCCTTTATCGATTTTAGAGCAGAAACACTCAATGCGTAATCACCGATGTGGTGCCCTACATCTACAAACCGATGTGGTGCCTATATTGATTATAATGTCAAATAATCTTCACTAACTCTACCTATTCGACCGTGGACACATCTTACGTTACGTTAACGTTTTTCGTAGGAGTTTGCATATGAGCTCTGTTCAGTAGCGCTACCAGTATATATGTTTAGACAATTATTTATTCAGAAATGTGTTATACAGATCCCAACTTTAATTTGTTTTGAGGGTATCAAAAAATCTACTGAAATCCTGTTATCTCTTCTATCCATAATTTAATTTCGCATGCATGTCTTCGCAGAAGTGTCAAATCTTTTTTAAATTAAAATACATCCTCAGAAGTGACGATTCTTCTGATGTGTGCGCCCTGAACTGTTAGTGATAATATCAAAATGCGTGTCGATGCTGTGACACAGCACGCCTGTAACGTTACTGAGAACAAAACATATACATAAAGCATGTACATCAAAGAATTTAAATGGACTTTTTTTGATACTATTTTATACAGTTTGTTTTGCAATATTACATGTCAATAAAATGCTAATACATTTTCAAGATCAACTCGGATCATCTTCCGGTCTTGCACAAATTTGTTGAGCATATACTTTCATTTGCCCATTTGGACATTTGCAACGCCACCTTGCGACAAAACATTGAAAAGCTTTGACGTTTTGCTTTCCAAACTCGTATACAAACCAAAAATCGATTGAAAAATGATTGAGTTACTGATGATAGTACGTGGTCAATTATCCAAAATCGGTTTTTAAACAACAACTTTGAATTTTGAGAGTGTTAGAACAAATTCTAATGTGGTTTTATGGTGTACTCGATTTGAATAACAACCAACAATAGGTCAGATGAAAAGTTTTTTTGCCGTGTAACACCTGTAACAACCTCATTTTCAAAATATATTGAGGAGGATGGTACTTTTGCTCCGGGTGACCTCCTTGCTTCTAGTTCCACTATTTTCCATTTAATTCCACTTAGTAATTTGTACCCATAACTGATACGCCAACAATGTGCAGTCTTCACCACTGTCATTCCCACTAAAGACCTTATGAATATTGCACAATGTAGTCGAAATTCGTTTCCGTCATGTGTTCAGTTAATTGCTCAGTATTCCACACAAATAAAAATAGAAGCGCACTCTTTTTAGCAATGTTGTGCATCATAGAATATTCTATTTGACTGCGGTATTAAATAGATTATTGGTCATGATTTGATACTCAGTTTAGTTGAATAAATGTCATTATGCAACAAAAAGTTATCATTTCTAGTAATTGAAAAAATATGATATCTAGCATTAGCATCTACCGTGACAAATTTTTCTAATAATGCTGGGTTTCGAAGGAATGTGTAAAACATATTTTAGAGATAGGTTTTATTAAATATCAATGCAGTATTCATTTGGTTCATAGCTGGGACTTTTTTTTTCCAAAAATTTCAACGGTACCTCTTAATCACGTTTCTCAGAGTTTCCATCATACAAAAGTTTTTTTTTGTAAAACTCTTAACTAACAAGTTGAAGATGAGTTTTCAGTTTTCATGGCAAAGTATTATTTTCAACCAGATTATAAAAGTGGAAATCCCAAACTAAGATTCTACGGAAAAATATTGTAAGTGCGTTAACTTTTCATAAAAGTCGTCACATAGCGTGTGGCCAAAATTATCTTTAAAATGCCAAATTAGCCAAAAATGCCTGCCAAAAAGCCTTTAAAAACCATAATGACTTAGAAGTTCAAAATAGCTTAAAATCGCCAAAAACGTCAGAAAAAAACTGGTAAAAATGCTCTGACAACACGAAAGAATTTGTCAGAAGGCTTGAGTGGCTTGAAATGATAAAATCTAGAGGAAAATTTGAAAAGGGCCTATGAGCCATACGCAAAAATGTCTTTGAACGTCGATTTATCGTGGATTAAGACTCATGCAGGCAAACCAACAACAGCATCTAGTAGAGGAAGTTCGCTCAGATGGTGTAGTACGTTAGCGTGAATGTGTTGTCGATGTTTATAGTAGTTGTTTTCAAATGCCTCATTGGCCCTTCACATGTTCGTCTAGAAATATAATTAAAATAAAAAATTGGGTCATCATCAAACGCCGATCGAACGCCAAAAAGCGCATAAGTACGCCAAATTTCCCTCAACATGTCAAAGCGTTTTGAAAATCTTTAAATAAGTTTAAAAACACCATGACTTAAAACGTCTAAAAGCCCTGAAACTCGATTAGAGTGACTTTCAGCCAGCAGCTGGATCGTCACTTCACTCAAAAAATACTTATAATCCCCAGAAATAAGCTAGAATTATCTAAGAAGCTCCAAAGCACCATGAAACTAATCGTCAAAAGAGACCTAAGCCACCGAAAGTTACCAAATAAACAATATAAAAAGCTTAAAACGCCAAAATGTCGTAAAATCACCAAAATTGATATACCACACATTCTTAGAATCATGGCAAAATCGCTACGAAATAAAGAGCTAATGTTGAAAACGTGAACATGCCATAAAGACCTCGAATCGCCTAAATTACCTAGAATCGTCCAAGAAGATTTATAAAACCACGCCGAAGATACTTTCAGAAACGTTAAAATGACTTAGAATAGCTTTGAAATAACAAACTGATCTTGAAGACGTCAACAATGGTTTGATAAACGACACATGACTTACAATCGCCATAATTTTTCTAAGGAGCCAAAAATGGCCTTTGAATGTTTTAAATGAGATAGAACACCGAAGATCGCTTTAAAAACGGATAAATTACCTTAAGAATAACAAAAAAGTTAAAAAAAAACTGTAAGAATGGCTCTTGAAAATGCAAAAATATCCCAATAATTAAATGATAAGAGCCTTTAAACCGCCAAAACATTTTCTTAGAAACATCAAAGCAGGCTGCAAATCGCAGAAAAGGGATTAAAAATTTTCAATTATTTTGAAACACTTGTTATTTTATTTATGTGAATTAAAACTAAATTGCTCATTCAATACCAAAACCTCTACATAAATTATCCCGGTTGATTTATTACATTGATTTTTTTTTAAATTGCTGCGACAAGCAATCAATGCATTGAAGTTTACAGAACATTACAAACGCACAAAACCGCGAGGTGAGGCGGCCAAGCCAATTGGTAGGGTAGAGAACTATTCAGGCCTGCTGGGGTGAGAGGTAATCACGCTTACCACTACACCACCGGCGCAGCTAAGTTTGGACCTATTGAGCAGAAAACATAAAATAGGCAATTTGTTACTTTTTATCAAATATTATGGTACGTACACTAAATGCTCACCAAAACGTTTCGAACTACTCAAATCAGACAGAAACTTATGATAAACTCATACAAGAAAATTAACATACTTTCGAAATCTGCAATCAAAATTAGGGGTTTCTATGCATTGTTTTAAGTTACATTACAACAACTGAATAAAAACAGGTACCAGCATTGCAACGCCACTGTAGAATGTGTGATATTGGACTGATTTGCGATTATAGGCAGTACAGCATGTAAAAAGTAAACATTTTTAATTGAAGCGTTGTAATAACCAATTATGTGCGCGTTTTAAGGTCAAGCATCACTTAAAAGTGGATCATGAGCGCTCGCATAACGTACTAAAAAAATAGCAAGATAAACATGTATAGTAAAGAACACAAATATTTCGTTGCACGAAATGTGATTTGGTTTGTGATCTTTTGACACATTTAGCATGTTTATATCTTAGCATAGCCTAACCGGCATAAACATATATATTCGACTGCACATCCACACATGCCTCTTGCCAGTGAAACAGTGACGTTCGAATAAAATCAACTGCATGCATGGCAGCTAAAAGGCATAGGGGTAACTCTAAAGATAGAGAAAAATCGCATGTAGTCATGAACGCGAACTCGATGCGCACAATACAAAATGTTACCAATGTTGTCATACACAAACTGACACCGCGGAAGTGGTTATAGACGCTTTTCTTGTGACATTACTTTTTGTATCTAGCGAGACGGTTCGTTTGTCAGCGTAAATGTTGACAGTCAGAAATTGATTTAATTATGATGATTAGTATGGTCTCCGAAACCGTTTCAGCGGTTGTTTAAAAGATGCAATGTGGATAGTACTTACCTTGTCGGTGTGTTCACTTGACTAGAGGTGAATGGATCATCGTTTGCGTCGAAGAAATCGTCCTCTCCCTCCGAGCTGGAGTAAGAAGTTTCCGGAACTGTGGAAAACATTGAACCCTTGATTAGCATGGATTTTCGGCACTTGGTCAGAACATTTCGGGCGAGCAGCAAAATCCACAATGTTGCGAGGGCGCCGCAAAACAGAACACATGCACACTCCAATATTTACGGGTTTTGCGGACCGGGGAAGAAGATTTTCAGTTTCGGAAAGCGTGTTTTTGACTTTTTGTTGGTCGGAGGAAAACGTACGACCACCTAAGGATAATGACTGGTTCTTTCCGCAGTGGAGAAGAAGGTACTGGAGAGCAAAAGTGTACAAAGTGTGTATACACTTCTCACCAAACACCAGTGTGCACACATACAAAGGCATACTTGCGCGCTACTGAGCACGTGATTCTGTTGAAGGTCTGAACGAGAGAAAAACGTCTAGCGTGCGATGAGAGATTGGGGAAAACGTGCGATATAACTCCATAGAACAGGAGGCCACATTATTGTGGTGCATATTTGGATGCATCATGATCATCAATATAAATTTGGTTTACTCTTCAAAAAGTGTGTGGTTGTTTGAATTTTTCTGAATATTTGAGAGACAAAAAGTGCGGAAAACTTAAAAACTTAATTCGCTGTATAAAATTGATGATATTTTCCTGACCTCCATCGGTGATTAGTGATGTGATAACATGTAGGGGAAAGTGGGGTAGGTTGACCATATGGGCAAGACGAGCATCGCCTCTAAACCACAACTTTTGACTGTTAATTTGGTAGACACAGTGGGTAGTAGTGTCGGTAAAACTAGCAAATTATAATATTTTGATGTTAAATTTTCTGATTCGAGCATTGGTTACCTAAACAATAGCCCTGTTCAATATTGTGTGGAGGTGCGATATTCAAATTTGCTTTAAATAAATTATATTATAAAGATTCAAAAATCTGATTCTGAATGGCACCATTAATTTATAAGGGTCAAAATGTCTAAAATTCATTCCATACCCAACCAGTGTTGGGAAAATATCAAAAAAATCAAATCTCACCAAATCCCAAGATCACGCTTGATTTTCGTAGACAAAAATCAACAAGCAAACAACTGATATTACAAGCCGTGAAATTGTAGCTATGAATATCAAGCTAACAAAACTTACCAGCTACAATTCCAACCAAACCGAGGTAGTCTCGAAATGTCGAAAGAGCTTGTAAAATCTATATCAAGCATGATATTTTGTTGTAAAATCACGCGTGATATTGAAAGCGTATGAGAGCGATTGATGATTTTTCCAACACTGTACCAAACAATGCCACGAAATTGGTCAAGTTTGTCAGTATAGTTTATCATAAAGCACAGTTAAGACTATTTTACCCCTGCACTTTGATTATGGCGCGTTCTGCCAGCTTGGTCGAGGCAGAATTCTTGTGTGAGTAAGTGATGACACTGGTCATTGGCGTTTATGACGACTCTGTAGCTCTTTACTCCTATGGTAAAATCCATAAGCAAACGTCAGACTGTGCGTGAAATATGGCGGACTTCGTACTATCCTTTCACTCCACCGAAAAATCCCATAAGAAACTGTCAATCTTTTCTAAAAGAGACAATTTTTTGACGGTGCCGTCAAGGCCAATTGTAATGTGCAATTCTCGCGTCATTTTTCAAATAGAACAATGTAACATATCTACCATTTTGAGAAAATCGAAGTTGAAGTTCGACAGATTATTATTTTAACTGTTTAGAAACAATACATCTTGCAATACTATTTTTAATGTGGCTAGTGAATAATAACGTTGAAAATCCAGTAAAAAAGGGTAAGCCCCAATTTTACTTTGAATTTCATGCTACAATATAGAAAAAAAAAACACACACACATAGGACGTTTTGATTACCCAAGTTGAACATCGGACATGTTACATTGGACGATTTTTCTCAATGACATAATAAATGAGTGTTACATTGAACGTTTTGTTCTACATGATACTAGATTCCCTTTCACAGATTTCATAGTAGGGTGCCTAACTTTATGAATGAATGAAATGTGACGCTTGTGAAGATCACTTGAAGATACGATATGACGGAACATTGATAACTGGGTACTGCGGAATCACTCAATATGCTTGTCAACTGAGAGCCAGTGTGATCTGTCAAAACATTCAGAAGCCACAAATGTTGGAACTCTTCCTATTTATCGTTAAATATTGTCATCTCATAGAAATTAACCGTACTTTTTCATAACTTATAGTTGATGGTAAGCTCAAAGGCAGAAACCAGAAGGCTCAGTAACGAAAGCATAAAAACCAGCACAGTTTTGATGTTCCAGGTGGGTTAATATTTTAATAAAACATACTTTTGCGAAAGAAGAATGTAAACAAACTTTTTGAGAGTAATGGGGGCTCGAGCACTCATGGCTCAGAGTTTTTTGTGGGATTATATTTTAAAACGTGTTAAATTTAAATGTTCCCTCTTTTCACATCCGGTGAACCATTCTGAACGGCCATCTCATTGCGATTATATAACAGCATTGCTAATAATGTATTTAAGGGAAATGGCTCTAATATTGGCCTATGGATCTAAGATTGGGCCCATCGCTAAAAATCTGCTATTTATCAATTTTATCTAGATGAACGCCTCATTGGGACGGTACTAATGGATATTTTTGGTCGCTATTGAAAATTTAGTCGATGGCTGAATTTATGTATGGGCCCAAATTAGGGGCATTTAGGCCGACATTACATCCATAAACCATCATCAATCTTTACCATTTTTAACATAGGCTCATATTTTGGGGTGGCGAGTGGCTAATTAGAAATTCATCACCTTTTTCGAAATGAAACACCCTAATGCTGGGCTTATTGTGAGTGAAAATGACCTCGGAATGCGAATACTATCCAAACATTCTGAAATGGGTTGCTAAATCTGCTAAAAGGCTATTTATGCCTACGATTATACTGATGCTCTTTATGTCCCATAGGACTGACCAGATTACCCTATAAGTAGAAAATTGTGTCTTAAAAATGGAAATTTTCTTTTGATTTTCGACCAGCAAAAAGAGATCCAGGTGAGAGGAGAGAGCATCCGGTGTTTGTATATAATATTAAACATAGTTATCGTACTCTAAGGAGACTCCACTCTGGAGCTTTCATCTTTTGGGAGGGCTCCTTCTGGGTTCTCCACCAATTCTCAAGCTCTATAACATGGAAGCCGGAGAAGAACCAACCTCAGGCTGAAAGTCTCCTTAACCCTTCGTCTTGAATTGATTCAGTAGATGGCACTAAAACGAAAATGATCAAGTTGCGCTATCTACAGCTCCTGCTTATATTCATGTTTGCCGTCTTTAGCAAAGTTGTTCAGATGGACAAGATTTATCCTAAGGTAAAGGGATTAGTTCAGAACTAACTCACCAGGCTGCACTAGTGTGACATTCATTTTGAATTGTTTGCCCTAACTTAACATCTTGACTAGATAGAAGAATCCCGTCTTGGGCAAAGTTGTTCAGATGGACAAGACCTATATTATGGTAAAGAATTCAGCTCAGAATTAACCCACCAGGCGGCGCTAGTGTTCAGATGAACACTGACTGACTAAACTCTTCAAAGATTGTTCATGTGTTTTGTGATATCATAATAGTCATTATGCCCAGAATTAACTTTGAATTGTATAAAGACCTTCTTGATTATTTCCCAGGAACTCACTTTAGTAAATTCGGTGCTCTTTATAACTTTCATTGAAAATTTTAATCATTTCAATGGACTTCATTTCGAAAGTTTGCTTGGAATGCTTGGAGAAGTTCTTTGATATTCTCCTTAATCTTCTTCATGACTCGCAAGATACTATCGTCCGAATTGGAATCCACCTTAAAATTCCCTAGAAACTATTATCAGATGGAAAGCACTATTGAAATAGAAAGTTTTCGTCTTCGTTCAGATGGACAAGACCTATCATAGACTATTGATGAACAAAAGTGACTTTTTTTTGTATCAATTACTTTATTTGTACAGGCTCAATCGAATAAACTTTACTGAGCCAAGTTATCATTTTCGTTATACATTATTAATGTCTTCTATTAAAAGTTAAAGGAACTGGATCGGATACTCGCGGTTGTCTCGAGGTTAGTGGAGATTTACATTTTTTTTTGGATGGGAAAAGGGAAAAGGAGGTTTGAAATGTGGTTTACGATACAAATATTTAATTAATCCTAAAACATGAACTTATTTTTATTCATCTTGAAAACAAACATGAAAAAACTCACACGTACAAAATATAAACTAAACACAAGGTTAATCAAACTTACAATCTAAGGTTAATATTCTTAAAGTAAACATATATGAGTTTCATAAACTCCAGATCGCGTCTAGCCAAAATATCCCGAACTGGAACATTAGGTTGTCTACCTCGAGCCCGAAGGGAATCGTACAACTCAGATCTGACTCCACGATGCTCAGCACAAGACCAAATAATATGATCGGCGTCTTGGTAACCTTGTCCACATTCACAGAGATTGCTGACCCCCAGCCCAACGCGGAACAAGTGAGCGTTTAACGAATAGTGATTGGACATGAGGCGAGACATCATACGAATGAAGTCTCGACCCACATCCAACCCTTTGAACCAAGGACTCTTCGACACCTTAGGGATGATCGAATATAGCCATCGTCCCAAACTCCCTTCACTCCATTTATTCTGCCAGCTGGCGAGCGACTGTTGACGATAAATGAAGAAAAAATCATCGTAGGCGATTTGTCGATCGTGAATATCGCCTTCCTTAGCAAGTGAGTCCGCCATCTCATTGCCCGGAATCGAGCAATGAGATGGGACCCATGCAAAGGTGATGACAAAAGATCTTAAAGATAAAGCACTTAAAAGCTCTCGTATTTTCATGAGAAAATACGAGGAGTGCTTTACCGGCCTCATGGAGCGAATAGCCTCGACAGAACTGAGGCTATCCGTAAAAATAAAATAATGATCTTGTTCAAGTGAGGCGATAGTTTCTAGCGTATAATGTATTGCCGCCAGCTCAGCAACATATACGGAACAAGGAGCTTGAAGCATTCGAGAGGCACTATGAAATTCGTTAAAAATACCAAAACCAGCGGACGACTCTATTAGTGATCCATCTGTGAAGAACTATCTTGCGGAATCAACTTGGCCAAACTTTGCAGCGAAAATTGACGGAACAATCATGGAACGATGATGTTCTGGGATTTTCCGAATCTCTTGCGTCATAGATAAATCAAAACTGACTGAATTGCCGAAGTCGGAGAAGCATACACGATGAGGATTATGCTGTGAAGGGCTGACATCCTGTGTTATGTACACGTAGTACAATGACATAAAACGAGTTTGAGGGTTTAGCTCAAGAAGGTTCTCAAAGTTTGCAATCACCAGTGGGTTCATAATTTCACAACGGGTGAGGAGCCTGAGGGACAATTCCGAAAACCGATCCGATAGTGGCAACATGCCCGCCATCGTATGAGTCGAGTGCATGCATCCTAACGCAATACGAAGACAGCGACAGCGACTGGAAGTAAAAACTACCGTACTCTAAAACCGATAAAATCGTTGTCCGGTACAACGTTAGAAGATCTTGCGGATGGGCTCCCCACCACGTTCCGGTAATTGTTCGAAGAAAATTGATCCTTTGTTGGCATTTTCGTCTCAGATACTCAATGTGGGATCTCCAGGTGCATTTGGTATTGAACCAGACCCCAAGATATTTGAAAGACATGGAATGAGTGATCGGCTTACCCAAAAGTTGAATCTTCGGTTGTGCTGGGCTATGCTTCCTAGAAAAAACGACCAACTCAGTTTTCTCCGTGGAGAATTCGATACCTAGCTGCATAGCCCAAGTAGAGGTATCCTGTAAGGGTCCTTGCAGGTCGACCCCTTTGGGCCCTGTCATAGACTCTATGTCATCATCTGCAAGTTGTCTCAACGTGCAGTTATCACTTAGACAATTATCAATTTCTCTGACGTAGAAATTATACAAAAGGGGGCTTAAACATGAGCCCTGGGGGAGACCCATGTAGCTAAATCGTGAAGCTGTAGAGTTTCCATGAGAAAAGCTCATATGTCATTTTCTCCAACAATTTTCGAATGCACGATAACATCGCGATGGGACGACACGAGTTATGATCTGACGAGCGTTTTCCAGGCTTTTTAATGGCTATTACTCTCACTTGCCTCCAATCATTCGGAACAATATTGAGCTCCAGGAACTGACAAAACAAGTTCAACATGCGTTTTTTAGCGACGTCTGGGAGGTTCTTCAACAAGTTGAACTTGATTCTATGAGCCCCCGGAGCCGAATTGCCACACGAAAGGAGCGCGAGTGAGAGTTCCAGCATTGAAAAAGGCTAGCTGATCTCGTCTCCCGAATTCGTCGCTTCGCGAGGAATCATCTGTGCCGGCACGGAATCAGGGCATACTTTTCGCGCGAACTTGAGAATCCAACGATCTGAGTACTCCTCGCTCTCGTTGTTCGAAGACCGGTTATGCATCCTTTGCGCCGCGTTCCAAAGCGTATTCATCGACGTTTCGCGCGATAATCCGTCCACGAATTGCCGTCAGTATCCGCGTTTCTTAGCTTTTATGAGGCTCTTGAGTTCGCGTTCAAGAGCCGAGTACGCTTCGAAATGCATGGGTGTTCCCCGTTTCCGGAAAAGCTTAAACGCGTCGGACTTTTTTCGATAAACCTCAGTGCATTGCTGGTCCCACTAAGGGGAAGGAGGTTTCCTACGGAAAGACGTTCCAGGAACCAGCCGAGTTTGAGCTCGAAGCGCGGTGTCCAAGATCAGATTGGAGAGGAAGTTATATTCCTCCAACGGTGGAAGCCCTTCTACCGACGACACGGCTTCCTCTATCGCGGTCTTGAACGTTGTCCAATCGATATTACGGGTTCCGACGGATTGAACCCACTGACAATCGAAATTTTGATCGGCAAGTGATCACTACTGTGGGAATCCTGGATCACATTCCACGTGCAATCCAACGATAATGAGTTAGAGCAAAATTTTGAGGTCTAATTTACTTCCATTTGAGGAGGTCATATATGAAAGTAGAACGGTTGTCATCATACAGTTCCCCCCAGCCTGTACCGTGGGAATTAAAATCTCCCATAATCAACCGTGGAGCAGGAAGTACCGAACATATATCTGAAAGTTGTTTTCGATTAACAACGGCTCTAGGAGGAATATAAAAAGAAGCAATACAAAGGCTCTTACCTTTAAAAATAGCCTGACATGCGACAGTTTTCAGTACCTGGAAATTGAGGAAGATTCACTCTATAGAAGGAATGGCACTTTTTGATCCCCAAAAGTACCCCTCCTCCATGCGAATCCACACGATCCAGTCGAATAATGTTAAAATCATAAAAAAGAAGATCAATATCTGAAGAGAGTCAAGTTTCACAAAGAGCAAATGCATCACAATTATTATTTTGAACTAAAAACTTAAAAGAGTCTAATTTAGGAATAAGACTTCGACAATTCCACTGTAGAACAGTGATCAAATCCCCGACAAAAGTGACTGATATGAACCGTATTATAAATTGATTGATGAGCGTTTTAGTAGAATAATTTTATGTAATTTTGAGAAAACATTTTTAAATAAACCAAAGCTCAAATTGAATTGCGTATTTCTTTCTAAATGTGGATGACCGGAATTTCTTGAACAGAGTGGGCAACTAATGACCTAGGTTGCTGAAGAGAGTGATATTCTAATTAGTTAAAATGTCAAATAAAAGCAAACAATATAAACAAAGCTAAGCTCCATCGATCTATGGGGAGTGAATTCTAAACTATGCTCATTGCCATATAATTGTTTTAGTTCATCTAAAAAACTTTGCCTAAAACACAAACCTTCTATCTAGGCAAGTGAAACCAAAAAATCGAAACAACGTGAAGCAACAGTGAGAACTGATGAGTAAATTCTTAGCTTAACTGTTTACCAGAGAATAGGTCTAGTTATTTGAACAACTTGGCCCAATATTTAGTTAAAATGTTAAGTTAGGGCAAACAATTAAAAATGAATGTTACACGAGCACCAGCTGGTGAGTGAATTCTTTGCTGAACTGTTTACCACAAAATAGGTCTTATCCATCTGAACAGCTTTGCTGAAAACGAAAACCATCTATCTTGTCCATCTGATGGCAAATAATTCAAAATGAATGTCACACTAGCGCTGCCTGGTTAGTGAACTCTGAGCTGAACTCTTTACCATAGGATAGGTCTTGTCCATCTGAACAACTTTGCCGAAGACGGAAACCTTTTATCTAGTGCATACATTAAGTTATGGCAATCAATTAAACATGAATGTCACACTAGTGCTGCCTGGCGAGTGAATTGTGAGCTGAACTCTTTACCATAAAATAGGTTTTGTTCATCTGAACAACTTTGGCGAAGACGGGAACCTTCTATCTATTCAAGATGTTAAGTTAGGGCAAACAATGGAAAATTAATGTCACACTAGTGTCACCTGGTAAGTGCAATCTAAACTAAGCTCTTTACCATAAAATAGGTCTTGTCCATCTAAACAATTTTGTCGAAGACGGGAGAAAGTCAAGATATTAAATTAGGGCAAACAATGAAAAGTGTATGTCACATTAGCGCCATTTGGTGATGAATTCTGAACTAATCTCTGTTCCTTAAGATAGCTGCTGCTTATTTGAACAACTTTGCCCAAGACGGGAACCATACATAAGCAGGATCTTTAGACAGCGTTATATCATGTGTATCACCATCTACTGAATCAATTCTATCATACACTATCCATGATTTTGAAGACCTTGTATTCATGAATATCTTTGCAGAAGGAAGCAACATTCTACATAATGATATAAACATCACTAACATCACAATATGCCACTTCATGGTTTTAGTTTTACAATGACCCCTCCTCCCGAGAGATCCACCTTTCCAAAACAAGTCTGATAATTTAAACAGAAATTCCACTAAATTTACTTTGCAAAGTATTTGAAATTTCAGAATTCCATTGAAATTTCGTCAAGATACGGTAATTTGAATTTGGGACCCTAGGGTACAGACAACGTAAGTAGGAGAAATGACTCTAATGTTGGCCTATGGATCGAAGATTGGGCTCATCGCTAAAAATCTGCTATTTATCAAAGTCAGATATTAAGGAATCTAAAAAACATATTTTGGCTAATACTACATGCAAAAACAACGAACCCCTCTGTAGCTTACTTTATCTATCACTCCTACTCACTCTTATCCAAATGTTAATGATGTTTAAGGCCTAGTAGACCAGTTAGATAAAATTTATAAATAGCAGATTTTTAGCGATGGGCCCAATATTAGATCCATAGGCCAACATTAGAGCCATTTCCCTACTACCAAATATTGATTTCAGTGCAAAAATTACAAAAAAGCATACCAACAAAAAGTTAATAAATTTGACCAAAATTCGTTTTTCTACAATATTTGTTAATTTTTGAGTGTCCATGGATTTAATATTTCAAAAGTTAAGCCATTTGAAACAATAATCAAAAAAATTAACAAGGACATTACTAAATTACTAAAGTAAACTAAGCGTATATATTTTTCCTTGACATACTTTATTTTCCCATACAACTTTAACAACTCAGACGTCATTTCGATTAGAAGCGGCAAAGAGTAAAGAGTTTTGCCGGATAAAAACCCATTCACGGTCCACAGAGCAACTACATTTGCATGCATGCAGCATAATAATAAATAAATAAAAACCAAGCAAACAAACAAATACACATTCATACTCTAGGTCATTTTAGGGTAAAATTTAATTTAAAAATTTAAGTATAATTGACTGACTCAATAATATTACAGCACACTGTAGGAAAAGCGCCCATGTGTATGGCACGCAAATACCAGCTGAGAGCTAAAGGAAAACTTGTTTCTGCTAGTATTTCGCGACATGATAGAATGGGATAAGCGCGATGGGAAATTTTGCACAACCACACGTCATCACGCACACTATGAAAATTGTATGATTTTCATAGGCACCAGCAGTGTTCTGGGAAAACTGGCAGTGAAAAGAGAAAACGAAATGAAACGTACCAGCGATTGAAGAATGTGCTATATTGCTGCGTCGCCGGTTTTCTCTGCATTCGGAGCCTACTTCTATTCCAGTCTGCACCAAACCCGGCATCGGGACGGCCACCAAATCTGTTTGGATAAGGAAGATTTCCGGAAAAGGCAGAAATATGGAAATATTCAAATGATTTAATCGTGCATAGGATAAAGAAGTTCCTGGAACAATACTTACCGCTGTCGCTTGCTTCGGTCTCCGTTTCCGATTTACTAACCATCGGACCCTGATAGATACCGTATATCGGATTTGCTGTGTTCTGGAAGCCAGGTGGGAAAAGAAACCAATATAATCATGTGTTTAATTATAAATGTTTGCATTGCGATTAGTTTGCGTACAAGAAGGTGGAAAAATCAATTCAAACATTGGCGAGGTTTCGAAAAAGTGGTACACTTGTTTCTCTCTTGCTCTCTGTGGTGTTGTGTCTTCAGTTGACTTCTCTGTCGCTTCAAGCGATATGTTCTGTGTATCGGTAGAAGTTTAGTTTCGTGTTGGCTTGGCGGTCACTAGAAGGGGCGAGTGTAGATATTTATTTGCAACCCAACGCATAGGGCAGTCAACTCGGTAATTATTTAGTATATATGCGGATTACGATACAACTTTTGGTTAGAACACGAGGTGACTTTTCCGTTTCCAGTCATTCAGTTTGAAATAGTAAGTCGAGACGGTCTAGTCTGATGGTGAAAATTCAGTGAAACCGTGAGAACAGAAAGATTTGAGTCATCCCAGTGTAGGTGATTTATTTTCTCAGTGTGATTAGTTAATTCGACATTAATAAAATACTGATACATACATTCACAATATTTATACCGTGACTGTGCAAATCGAGAACATAAAATAAGCACGGCCAAATCTATTAGAAATGTTATTTTAATAAAGATAATTGCTTTATTTAGGGAGCCTCCTCGGAGTGATTCGTGTGTTTCATAACCCATAAACTGCCGTTATACGCATAAATGTTCTATGCAATCCTTATGCACCATGGGACTCTTATGCGTATAATGGCAGGTAATACTGTATCGTTTTTAGGTGTATTATCCTCGATTCTTGTTATTCTTGCAATGAAGATATCGTAGAAAATATTTATATTTGGTTGTTACCTTACAGCCATAAAAAAAATGTGTTTTTAATTTTAAATTGTAGTGGCTATAGTGAGCTTTACAGGGAGAATTTGACAAAGTTAAATTCACTTTGAAAATAATGTACACTTTTCTTTTGTTATAAAATATGACATATTACAATTACCTTAGTTATCTGTAGAAGAACAATCGAATGCTTAATATTGTCCAGCATCGCCTGAAAAAAAAATTGTTTTAAGATAAATTTGTATTCCCACAAAGCAAAATGTCACCTACATCAGCATGTTCGTAAATGGTTCTAAGCTTTTCTGCTTCTTCGCATTCCCCTAACGATTGTATCCTGTTATCTATTTTCTAAAAAGAAATAATGAAAATGGAATTGCAAATGTCATCGAAACTTTATCGCCATTAATTAACACCCTACCGTTGTCTGTTCGATCATAAGCTGTAGATAAGCGTCTGCCTCGCTAACTTTCCTATCGAACAATGCAAGATTATTTGTTCGCATTGAACTGGATCCAGGCGTACCTTGGCAATTACTGGTACTGCCTCCACTGTAATGTTGCTCCCACAGAGCCCGGCTCCGATTTGCATGTCGTAGGATGGTGTCCTCAAGCCGGCGAACCCATTTTTCCCGCTCATCTGCGTCCCGTGCCTGGAAAATTTAAACGTAAACTATATATTTAATTGCTGGTCTGTATTTGAGAGCTTATAGGAATGAATTTACCTGAAAATGGAACGTCTTGTGATCTACGGTAATGGTGAATGTGTTTACGTCTTGATCGTCTATGCCAATCACGGCTCCTTTTAATCGAACACAGCCCCGGCGGACACCTTTCATCATTTTCTCTTTTGACTGTTAAAAGATTATAGAGAATAGGTAACTAATAACTTTTAATACAGTTGAAGGTATAATAACACATACGGTATCGCAACTACCGATGATCTTATGTGTGCAGTTGCCTCTTAATTTAGGAAGATATACTGTTTAAGATATGATTATAATATTTTTGTGAATAATCTCTTGAATTAATTTATTTTTCTGGTCTGTTGTATGAACATCATCTAGCCATTCAGAAAGAGGATCCTGTTGTGGGACTTAAAAAAGACTTACATGTTATTAGAGTCGAATTTAGAAAATACAAATAGCTGATGTACGTTTCTCAAAATAAGCCCAAGATTTTTTTTTTCAATTCAACTGCTTTTACTCGTTTATGCATTGATTATAATAACATTCGTTCTCCAGATTTTAAAATTCGTTTGAGAATTATTAGATACCTGAGAAGCCAAAATACACACCTGTAAAGCATTCCACTTAAATTTTGAGTCATGTTCCACAGACACTGATGAGTTTCTCGTTTATTGACAAGAAAACGTGAAATGAACCTGACTAAACTTCCTTTTCCACAAAAAAAAATGTTATTGCTTTCGTGGTAATGAAAACTATGTCACGACGGAGGTGGTAGAGCTTAGTTCATTAATCTCATTCATATAATTTACATTTAAAGACCAACATCTTTGTGACGACGGAACGCTTGAGGTGGGACCCTTGCAAATGGATTTCAATATTAATATCATGAATATTTTCGTATGTTCATTGCAGGTCAAAATGGATTTGTACAATTACTACATATGGGAGAATGCAGGTAAGTTGATGCTGCACATTCTATTGCCAAGATAATCAAGTATTTTTTCTGCAGATCCACGGACCCATAACTGGTTCTTAGCTGGGTCTCCGTTTCCTATGCTGGGAGTTATATGCACATATCTCGCTCTTGTATACTTCATAGTTCCTAAGTGAGTGTCGGACGACTAAACTAAAAATACCCTTGATTTAAATAATGCTGTTTTCAGATTCATGGAAAATCGTGAACCATACAAACTCAAGACATTTCTAGGATTTTATAACTTATTTCAAGTGGTATATTGCATCATGGTTGTAGTGAAGGTAATTTTTTTTAAATAAACATTAATTAGCCAACGTTAATGTAAGCAAATTTTCAGTGTTTGCAAGCTGGATGGACATTCGATTATTTCTACCGATGCTATGAAACAGATTATTCCAATGATCCGAAAGCTGTGAAGATGGCTGAGGTTACGTGGTACATCCTGTTCATTAAGTTCATGGAACTTCTGGAGACGATTCTTTTCGTTTTGCGTAAGAAACAGAACCAGGTCTCTTTTCTTCACGTGTATCATCACATTAGTACCTTTTTCATTGCCTATATATTCTGTAAATATGTTGGAGGTAAGAGGAGGGACTTTTTATTCTAAGAATTATCTTACTTTTCGATAATCTTTCATTGCAGGCAGCATGCTAGTGTTTTCAATAGTAGCCAATTCAATCGTACACATCATAATGTACTCGTACTATTTCATATCAGCGTATGATGTCGCAATTTTCAAGTTCATAGCGGGCAAAGTAAAAAAGTACATAACCAGTATTCAGCTGGTAAGTGACTCGTTACTAGTTGCCCATAACCCTGTTTGATGCAAGAGAGCGCTCACCATATTTTTTTTTCAGATTCAATTCGCACTGCTAACGACAAACAACGTGTTTGGTCTTCAACCAGGTTGCAACACTTGCAAACCGTTTCTTGCCATGTATATCCCGAATGTGTTTATTTTAATCTATCTTTTCAATGACTTTTATAAGAAATCCTATGATAAGAAACAATCTAAGGTTAAGTAGATCAGTATGCAATTAAATTAAAAGATCAGGACCGAGGATTTAGTTGATCCAGTAATGCTGGAGGTTTCAACAAAGGTGAAACTGTGATAAATGTCAGTGTTAATGAGAATGTTATGTTTAGATGATTAAGCGCGTAATTGGTCGCGTAAGGTACTAGAACTTTGGCACTATAATTAAAACAGCACGCTTGAATTGCCTTACTAATTGAGCAATAGGAAAACTATTTTCTCCGGTAACAAATAGAGTCTAGTGGTTCATAAAAGTGATAATCAAAACAACGAAGAATAAATAGTTCAGCAAAGATTTCTATATCTATAAATGTGTTATTTATCCGATTTATCAATGTTAAAAATCGAATTCCACATGTCTAGTTGATTTTTTTCTTCTTGTACATATGACGTATAGAAGAATGAGGTTTACGTTTGAATATTGGACACTTTGTACAAAACTAAAATACATTTTTTTTTGTGAATTAACTTATTTGTACAAGCTCAATCGAATAAACTTTGTAGTGCCAAGTTCCGAAATAAAAAAAAGGATTTTTTTTTAAATAGAGTTTTACACCACTTTGCTTCGTCGTACCCATCGTTCGATCTCTAGTGTAAATGTTGTTTACATTAATCATAACTAAAAATGTAAGCAAAAAAGAAAATAGTCACAAGCGTTTTGTTTTCAGCGCTTTTGACGATGGAAATGGGCTACATACGGCAAAGTAACGTGGAGCTTTTGGTATATCAAGATTTGGAATACAGCAAAGCTGAAGTTTAGGGAAAATTGCTAAATAAAATAAGGTAAATTATAGCTTCGGAAAACCCTCTACCAATTATGGTCAGGGTTTAAATAAAATGCTTTACTGCTCAATTTTGGCAAAAAGATGCTCTAAAACATGATGTATCCTCATGGAAAAAAGTAGACGCTCAAGTTCTGTAATTACCCCTTAACGAAGCACACTAGAGAACGTCTGGTGCGGGTATTTTTACCCGAAATCCCATCCGTACCCGTACCTGACGGGTTCCGGTCGGGTACATGCACGACAAAAAAAAAAAAAAAAAATCGGGTTCGGGTCGGGTATCGGATATCGGGTATGAGAATTCGTAACATCTTATAGACATAATAAAATAATGTTTTTGAACATCAAAACATACTTTTTGACACATTTCTACTGCAAATAACACATACTATTCATGTGCCAACTTATAAACTAAAGCCTTGCAAAAAATATATGTGTTCCATAAATTGTAGATGATCGAAAACGGGTTTGTTTACCCGAGCTCGACGGGTATGGGTCGGGTACGGGTATTCAAAAAGGTAAATTTCCGGGTTCAGGGTATTTGAAAAAATATGACTTCGGGTTCGGGTTCGGTTCGGAGGCTTTCCATAGCTCAGTCGACAAAGGCGCAGCTACAAAGCAAGACCATGCTGGAGGAGGATGGGACCCATCCCCGGTCTGGTATACACATTTTTCGGGTTTGGAAATATTATAGATTTCCCAGGGTCATGTGTGAATACTTATTTAAACTTAATCGTGTGCTTTCTCATCAATATGTGTTCTTGAAACTTAAACTGAGCAATTATTGACTGCGTGGAACATCTTTTGTTCTAGCTCTAAGAAAACACATATTTGCATCTCAAAACAACGAAAAATATTCTGGGAAGGAAAGTGGATTTTGAGCTGAAATGTGCCTATAATTTGCATTTGAATATATGATTCGTCTGACCAGTGATGGAAATCAAGCGAGCATGATCTGATTTCCAGTTTGTCGTAAACTGTACAGATCGTGATTTGTACAAACTACGACCAACGATTAGTCCTCTTCCACCATGAAAATACGTTATTGCATAGGCAACTCACAGATAACAAATACATTGTTAGACTGAGTCAAGCTCAGAGAAGTGAGTTACCCTTTTCGCTCATTATATCAACAAATCGCAACATAGACTTCTCTGATGTTTGTGAAATGCACAAGTATTAGTGCAGAACTCGGGGTAAATTATAAGTATTAGTGCAAGAAAACTTTTGAATTTACCCAAAGTTCTGCAATAATACCTGTGCAATTCACAAACGTCAGAGAAGTCTATGTGCTTATTTTACGAGACGAGAGTGAGTGTCTCTCTGTGAGTAGCATTCTTTGGCAGTTTGGGGTTACAGAGCAATAGTTGTTTATTCCCAGGTTGGAACCAGTTCCAACCCAGTGCAAACCCGAACTTTTTGTCAGTGCGAAAGTCAATCCGTACCAGGTTATAAAAACAAACGATCAAACGTTTGCTAGAAATTGAGCAAGCAGACCCTAACTTTTACCCCTAACTTTGGGCCATTTTACCCCAGGGGTGCGTTTTGAACCATCCTACCCTAACTTTTAACATGAAGGCTGAAACGGGGCGATGTGCGGTTTCTATAGTTGAGGAGGATGCAAACAAGCCAACTCTTTCGTTCTCCCGGTTTCGAATGCACCAACAGCGTAGCGTGCACTCATAACAACTCTTGCGTAGTATAAGTAATGTATCGTGAGTGCACACAGCAATGATGTTGTTATCGTCTTGCTCTCTTGAGATCTTGGTAGCTCACTGGTTGAAATGCTCTATGCGTATTAGTGTTAAGAGTCAGATTGCATCGCTAGCTTATGATGATGCCAATAAATCTTATAGCAGGTGTGTACGTATTCATTGATCGCTTGAAGCGATTTTTTGACATCACTGCGTCTGACGAAATTGCGATTTTGCTCACATTTAGTGAGAAAAAAAATTAATTCACTCTAAACAAGCTTAACATGAAAATAATATCAAAAGTTTTTCCATATTTGCCTTATGCCTTTTGAAAGAAAATATTTAGCAATATCGAATGAACTTAAATCACAATTCTGGCAGAAGTGGGTTAAGATCTTGCAGAAAAAACTACAAGGGACAGCCCTATGGGGTTGTTCGCAATGGGGACGTAGGACTACGTGTTCTTATATAATAAATCTTATTTGTTAACTACAGCAGGAGCTTGTGCTTGTGTATGAATAGGAAATTGAGCCGGGTTATCTCTGTTTATACATTTTAGTATGACGCAATTGACATATATGGTCCACAGCGACTCACGAAGAGCTACTGATTCCGTTCAATAGCAGTGCGGTTTCTTTCTCCTTCTATGGATGCTCATGTGGGCTGCAGCTCACTACTTGCAGGCAGCCTTTCGTTGTGCACTGGAGAACACCACCACTCACCACGCGGTGATTGAATAATCATCGTTTGGTGAGACCGGTTGGAATTCAGGTTTGAAATCTATGTTAGAGAAATCGCTTTTCGCAGACAATCGGTGATATTTTTAACTATCATAGCAACAGTTGCACATTCGTGCAATTTTCAAAAGTGACATTTTGGAAAATGATAAAGTATTTAATCTAACAGATGCGTAGAAATATTTTTGATCGATTAGTGATAAAATTATTGAAATTGGTCCAGGGGCAGCTGAGTTATTAACGATCAAAATCTTTCATAATTTTGTTACATGTTCCAATTTCGGTTTCCACAATGTGTACCCCTATATAGAAATCACAGACGTAGTCCAACGTCAAAAAAAATATAACAATAGAGTAGCGGAATAATCAAGATATGCGTAATATTTTCAGTTTTTCTCTTCTTTTCTGTACAACTAACACTCATCTTCCGGTTTTGGTAGTTTTCTCCAAGGTTGCAAAGACTCATTTCAGCTAAAACAATGTTTTTCTAAATTATGAAATAATTAGATGCCATGATCAAATTTTGAATTGGTAGGATACAAGAAGAGGTTGCAAAGAATGTGTTTGACATATTAAACCTGTTTATTTCACTTCTTGAGAGTCACAATCAGCGATTTTTCACAAACTCACTCACTCACTCACTCACTCACTCAGCGATCAGCAAATCGCTGATTGTGACTCATAGAAAGCAAAATTTACAGGTGTTATGTTTCCAACGCATACTTTGTAACCTCTTCTTGTAAGTTACAAGTTAAACATGCCATCATACCATCTTTTGGTTTTATTATTCCGAAAAACATTATTTTAGCTGAAATGAGTCTTTGCAACCTTGGTTTTCTCACGTCGCGGCGCTAGTATACACATGAAATTCTAGCATATACAATAGCCCGAGGTTACTGTTTTGGACAAACTTGTTTAGGGGGTCAAGACTTTTTGGCTGATGTACAATAGTTCAGAACTTTATCACTACGCGGCGCTAGTATACATATGGGTCATTTCCTGAGGTTGATGTCACTGATTTGAATCAAACTTTACCAAAACGTTTATTTTGGCATTCTGAACAAACGACTTTTTTTGGATTTGCTCTTAAGTGAATAGATCCGTCTTGACTACAACCCTGGATTTTCGAGATATTTGAAAATTTTATCTTTAAGAAGAGATTACTCCACAACCAAGCAAGCTAATTTTGATCTTGGCACGCCATTCTGAAAATATTTAAATGTATTTATTTTTATTACAGTAACTACAATACACATTTAATATTTTGGGTTCAAATTTTCTCCACACTTTGGAAAACCATTCAACTGGATGTGTTTTCAAGGGCAAATGATTTGAACAAATAGTTTTTAAGATATTACCTGATAAGTGACCGGTAGATTTGAGCTTTTCTAGTGGAAAATGACTGTTATTTTTTTTTTGTATTTTTTCCTTCACACCGACTGCCCAATTTTATTTCATTAGGTTTTTCGCTTTTTAGGTTTGCTAATTTAGTTACATGAATTTAATTGTGGTCCTAAAAGTGAAAAATACGTTCTAATGAGAGTAAGCCAAAACGTTCAGCTTTAGAAGTACACATGATGAATTCAGATAGATTAGCTTGCATATAAAATTTCAGGTGTTGATGGCAGCTGCTAGAAGCGCGATATTTTTTTTTTAAATTACGAGATAGAAATATTTGTTATGCACATTTATAGAACAAGTCAAATGATTTTACAGCATATTTTGCACATAACCATAACGCACAGGAAACATTTAAATACTTATCTGAATGGCTAAGTCTAGATAGAGCTGGAATTAGGGCGTAACAGCTTTTGTAAACAATGACTTCTATCGATGATTTCTAGGAATTCAAGGCACGCCCACGCAGACCAACATAACCATCGCATAGGGAAAGTCTTTACCTACCCGATGTGGATGTTGTTTTGCGTGGGCGAGCCTTGAATTTCAAGAAATCATCAAAGAAATCATTGTTTACAAAAGCCGTTAGGCCCTAATTCCAGCTCTATCTAGAAGTATTAGTACAGATTTTTAGGCTTGCAAGCATATAAATGGATGAAACATATGCGAACCCACGAATCTGCACTAATACGTCTGTATTCAG